TAAAGCCTCATCAAAATATTTTATGGATTCCTTAATGGCAGAATCTTGTTTACTTGTACGATCAATCCATCAACGTAAAAATAGTTCCCTGTATGTACATATGAAAGAAGACAGGTTAAATTGCAGTTATGATGTGAAAGGCATGTTTAGAAAACCTCTTTCGAACCATTGGACATTTTCAACATTCTGTCAACATATTCTCTTGCTTTTTCATGACGTACTGTGTGCCATAAAAACATTGCAACAAACTCAAAGTATAGCGCATTCTCACCAACACTTGTTTGAATCTTTTTCAATCTTGTTTCCAATTCATGTACACTTTCCTTGTCAATTAATTGTACCTTTTTATGTGCATAAATTAATGCCATCAAACAACACACGACAACTTCTTCACTTTCTTGGATTCAAATTCTCTAATGGATTCTGACACACGATCTGCAAGTCAATGTAACAACCATTATGAAGTATTGACAATACAGTATACTTCAATAAATATCATTGGATCATTTTAAATACAAAGAAATAGAGCTTTTAAGCAAGCACAAGCTAGTTTAGTGATGGATAAGAGACCAACCACTATAAATTGACATAAATTCTGCTGGCTGAATGTAAAGCTTCATATGTGAAATGACAGGAGACAAAATAAAGTGAAAATTTTCTTATTTGAAGGGTACAGTATACACAGACAGTTTTAAAACAGTCAGAATGCATCAAATGACAAAGTACTAGTAAAAATGGGACAATCAATTACGAGAAAATCTAGAGAAAGCCTGTTGCCATGGACTACGCAACGCAACAGCTGCAGATTGAGAACGACAATACTCTACATTATTAACAACAAACATTCTATCAGTATTCCAAATGCTTTCCAAAATGTCAAAAATGGATCACCTCCGTGCTTCTGTAAACCTTGCAAACACACGTTTTGTAGGTGCCTGTAAAATCTTGCTCGACAATAATAGTTGATACTGCCCTGTTGCCAAGTAAAAGATTGCACATGCTTTTGAGTCAAAATATAATTTATATTTCTGCAACTAATGTTAGAATTATCTATAAGATGAGACATACCAGTATTAGAGTATCTGTAGATGTCATAGTTATTCGTACGAATTAATGGTACAAGCTAGATTTTTGTGTTATCGTTTTCTGCCATTTAGTCAGGGGCTGAGTTAAGGGTACCTCGACAAAAATACTAAGTGCAACTTTTTTCCAGAAATGTGTTCAGGGACCATATGAAAGTATTTTAGGACATATTGCCACTTCCCAAACCCTGGGAAGTGGCATTTTCCCATTTTCTGATCGTCTTACAGGAGCTTATGCTAAAGAAATGATATAAGAAGTATTTTTGACCATCAAGTATTGAAATTTTGGTACCAAGAAATACACGGTTTTTCCGATTTTTCCGATTTATCTGATTCTTCTTCTCCAGAATTATCACCATCATTTTCCGTATAGCCACCGGCATTCCATGTATTTCGACAATCTCCCTCGCATTTACAAAAGTCACAGATTGGATGCACATGATATGAAAAACACATAAGATTAATATGATACAGTGATACAATTCATAAAGTATGAGTAGATTATATAGCAATATTACAATTAAATATTTGTTAGAATTAATGATGATTGTATTTACAGGCTGAATATAGTGTTAAAACGAAAAACTTGAACGTTAAGATTGGGGTTACTTTTGCTAATGTGAAGTGATTCATTGATTTTAAGTGTGCATGTAGTATCTGCAGTGCCAATGATTTTAAAGCAAGAGGGTATATAGTTTTGCGCGAAGGGAATTTCAAAACGTGTCGATAGAGATATAAGTTTTGTCAGTTGGTTCTCTGATTCTGGTGGACAAGTGAGGGGACATCCCGCACACTCGAATTGGTTTACCACCAGAGATTTAATAGAATCAGGGATAGAATCTTTGAATAAAAAGTAATTTTCGATTTTGTAGAAAGTTAAAATTAGTCGGATGTTAGTGTCAGTGCAGAAGCGTTTGACGATGTTTGTAAATTTGCGTTGTGTGTGTATGGTAGTTAAAACTTTAAAGTAAAGAGTTTTTATGGACTGTTCGTTGTTGTTGGTCGTTGCTGTTATATCGTATGTTTTAGTGTTTGCTTTGCAGTTAGTATTAGTTTTGCCATGGAAATATCGTTTGACAGTTTTGTCGACGAAGTGTAGTGCCACAAACAAAGTAAGGAACAACGGAAGCTCGCAAATGAATCAAGAAATGACAAAAGGTGTAAAGACTATAATCTATAGTCTATTATCTCTCGAGTGGACTATTCTAAACAAAGCTCTTGAAAAGAACACAAAGAAAAACTTACGTAGCTAAGATATGCTCATGCACTCGTCGAAAGATACTTTGTCATCTTACGAAGAATAAAGCTTTATCAGACACAATAAAACAGTCCACAACATATCATCAAACAAATGAAAAACAAAGAACTGAAACTTTTGAAATCAACCATCCCGTCAGATTTTGGCTTACCCAAGTTACAAGAAACGTGAAGCAAAAGAACATTTTCCGCTACGACCAATAATCTTTTCAACGAATTCTTATAATTATAATCTAGCTAAGTATCTTAGTTTCTAACTTACACCACTCATACCAGACGACTACTCCACTAAAGATTCCTTCTCTTTCCTTGACGAATTCTCATCTTTCAACTCATCAACTTCATGTCACAAATTCCTCATTTCATACGACGTTGAAAACCTATTCACTAACATACAACTTACTGAGACGATTGACCTATAGCCAATGGTGTAGCCAGCCAACTAATTTGATCGTGCTGTGTAAATTTAAGATCATTATCATTATTCATTTCTTTAGAAATCTATTGTTTTTACAGTGAGTGAACACAGAAAAAATTACATAGCACGACAAAACTTGTCGGCTGGCTACGCTCCTGCCTATAGCCATACATTGACGCTATTTTCACCCACAAACCTAAGTTTATCATGAACAAGACAGAACTAAAACAGCCATTTTTGTGTTTTTACAAACGAGACTGAGGCTATGCACTATTTTAACTACATCAACAGAAGCACGCGAACATTAAATTTCCTCTTGAAACTGAAAAACAAAACCAACGACCTTTTTTTGACATTTTATTAACAAAATCACATGACATCTGTAAAAGGTCGACGTATCTTAAACCAACCTACACAAGACTATTGACGAATTATTTCAGCTTTTCACCGCTTTTGTACAAGACTGGATTAATATACACACTTATAGACAGAGCATACACAATTAACAACACCGACAATGGCTTTCAACAAGACCGAAAGAGCATCAAACCTATTTTATCACGCAACTCTTTCCCACTACACTTCATCGACAAAACTGTCAAACGATATCTCCATGAAAAAACTAATACTAAGAACAAAGCAAACACTAAAACGTGCGATATAACAACCACGACCAACGACAACGAACAGTCCATATAAAAACTCTCTGCTTTAAACTACCGTGCATCGGACATGACATCATTCACTACACACACAACGCTGACTTACAAACATCTTCAAACGCTTCTGCACTGACATTAACTAACTATTCACCTTCTCGCTTTAAAATCATTGACGCTGCAGATACTACATTCACATTTAAAATGAAAGAAGCACTGATTACTAACAAAACTAACCCTAATCTCAAAGTTTCAGTTTTTCGTTTTAACGCTATATTTAGCCTGTAAATACATTCATCATTAATTCTAACCAATATTTCATTGGAATATTTATATATCATATATACGCATAATTTGATGAGTTGTATCATTGTATCACATTGCTTTTTACAGGCGTAACTGGGAACGTTAATTGGTGGTGGGGGGGAGTGCATATTCATATATTCCATTGTGCCCTACTGATTTCTTTTGAAAGTGAATTGAATTTCAAAAGAAATTAGTAGGGCACAACTGAACATATGAATATACACACCCCCAATTAACGTTTTAGTTACCCCTCTGCTGCTCATATACACTTAGCGTTATCAATAGTGCTTTTACGTAGCTGTATTCATTATATATCATCAGACGAAATCATCAGTTTAAGGTGTACTAATATATGTTATGGTTCTTGATGTTCAAGTGGTAAAAATGTCATTCCTGGTCATCAGCTTGACGAAAACTTTGCCTTAACTACCATTGATCAAAAACAGAAGTGAAAATAATCATTGCCACTGGTGTTTGATAAAGATGAAAAAGGAAGGAAAGAAATACAATCTAAGCATCATTTTAGTGTTATTTCTAGATTGAATGACTGATATGTATGTCGACATAATAATTAAATTGATTATAATTTTTCCCAGAGAGTTGCATCTATTTTCCTTTATCTTTCTGTCCGGCATTTCGAGTCTTACGTGAAGCTTCAAACTACGACAATATAAGGTTTTTTAGATAAGCTCAGAAAACAACAGTTCAAACAAGCATCAGTAACTAAAATATGTAAGATGCAAATGACAACTAATATGTAGAAATTGCTACCCCTCTGCGAAGCCGTGGCTAATGATATTTTATTCACATCCAACCGCCCTAGAAAATAACAAGGAATGTATGACAGGTCAAGGTGAATGTAGCGAGTCGATTGATTTAATGGCTGCCAATATGAGTAAATGTTGAGCTCTTATAGAAGATAAATGATCGTTCATTTTCTCTATTCTTTCTTACTCGCTCTTGCAATAGTTGTGTAAACGCTTGTTTATTAACAAATTATTAAACGTTTCATAACTGTAGAGAATAAAAAGTATTACGAGAAAAATTATTAATTTGGATATGCTGATTGAATGGAATAGACCAAGCAGTGGCTAATAAAATAAACATCAAATCCACTTCATTCGAACAAATAAATTCATGTGACGCATAACTATATAAAGGTCTTTTTACTCGTCATAGACAATCTTGAAAACTTGTTATCAACGAGATTTAGTCCCAACGATATCTGTAACCTTACTTGTGGTTAAAAACGCAACAAAATCTCCCAATTCCATGGAATTACCGTATAGTTATCGCATTTATATTTTTTCCAATAAAATTGTTCACTTTTATACTTATCATCGCAGGATTCCTACATAGAACTTCGAAGAGTTTGGAGAAGATCATGAAAATTCAATCAAACTAGGAATGTGTTCCAATTTTTAATATTGACAAAAATACACCCCACCCAGGATTGAAAAAACTCGTAATTCTCTTGTTTTCAAGTGTTGCAATAACTTTAATTTCTTCACCGTTTTTACTTCTGTCTGAAAAAAAAAATCAAAGAAAAAAGACGATGAAAATTTAGGACGGAATTTAGCCATAAGAGACTATGATCAAAATTCTATTATTCAAATTAAATAAAAAAGTGTATGCAACTGTGGTTAGCTATCATCCTTGGAAGTTGGCTGACTGTAAAAATTGCCTGTGACACACCACACAAATTGCTAAAAGTTTCTCTTATAATGATTTTGCTACCGTATGATTTGCCGCTTTGAACGGAATCGGAAGAAGGACGTGATGTTTGAAAGAGTGTTGTTGTTTAGTTAGAGTAAAAGACAAATTGTTGTTGTTGAATGTTGTACGTGGGACCAAACGGTCTTTAACGTAATTTGAAAGTAACAAATTATAATTTGGTTAATTTCATTAAATTGTTTATTCCCAAGTTGTATGACGACTTGATAGTCACAGCAGCCGTATTCGCGGTAACCTTCCCCTGATTTGAACAGTCATAAACAAGCAGATGATGGGGCACCAAATACCTATATTACTCGACATCTGAATGCAGTTACTACACCCAATTCAAAGAAAAAGAACCGAAGGCTGTATTGGTATATTGTGTAGCTCATTCTTGCCCTTTAGGTTGACTAATGGCTGAAGTGGCTCACTTTAACTACCATAAAATCTCTGAGCGAGACTAGGTTCTACTATTAGAACCGCAGCGATCGATGCCTTTATTTTAAGAAAAGTATGCAATGTTGCACGCGGATAGCAGTATTTGATATGAACTGGAGCTCAGGTTTGACAAATAAAGTTTCATTTTATTCAAATATTGAACTTGTGATAGGTGCATATAGGGGTTTTATGTTATGTACCCATCACCCAGACTACAGAAAGTTCAAGAACGAAGTAGAAATTGACTTAAGAAGGATATCAATACTGTCAATATCAATACTGTCAGATTTAGTAAAGACCGCAAACGAGCAAAATTTATGCTAAGATCAAAGGTGAATTATGGATATCACTTGAATTAGCACGATAAGAGACATCATGAAAACGTACGTCCTTGTATGTGTAGTAAAGCCCATAAAGGTCTTTGTACCCATTAATTGCATACAACGAAGGTCCATTTTTAACTCTTCAGAGAGTGAAAACATCTTAGTCTGACAATGAACTAGAATTCGTTGCTTGCAAATAGTACGACAAATCGTTTAGGCCAGGGGTCTCCAAACTACGGCCCGCGGGCCACATGCGGCCCGTTGGGACTCTCAATCCGGCCCGCAGAGACACTTAAGAAGCCAATTTCATCACTCACATTGAGAAAACAGAAGAGACTAATTGTGATTTTGTTATGATATTACACTTGGTTGAAACTTAACCTTTAAATTTTGAATAAATATTTTCTTAGCTAATGAAGCTTGTGTGATGTGCTTCGTTTTGCGCATTTAATATACGTGACAAGTTTTTTTTTAAAATAGACATGTTTCGACATCTCATGATGCCATCTTCAGTATAAGTGACATAATAAATGATACAAGATTTACATAAAAGTAATATGATACATAAATTACAACAATAAAAAGGAATTAAGATAAAATTAAGGTGGAGCGTCCGAGCGTATTATAAACTGAACATTGTATTGAATTTAAAAACTTGAACATTGAGGTCAGGTTTAGTTTTGTTGATGTGGAGTGCTTCTTTGATTTTAAGGGAGAATGAGGTGTCGGTAGTGTCGATGATTTTGAGGCAAGGGGGGGAATAGTTGGTTTTACATGAGTGAGATTTAAGAAGGTGTGGGTTAGATATGAGAGTATTTGTCTGTTGTGGTATTTTCCCTGATTCTGGTGGATAAATGGCGCAAAGAGTCGCAAATGTATATTCTGTTCCTTTTTATTGTTGTCATTTATGAATCATAATACTTTTATATAAACCTTGTGTCATTTAATATTTCACTTATACTGAGGATGGCATCATGAGATGTCGAAACATGTCTATTTTAAAAAGTACTTTGTTTTATTAAAATATTCGCACTTTGACCAGCGATATACGGTTCGTCGGCCTTCAACATGCTGGATGAAAGTTCGTGTGGCCCTCTGGCTGTAAAGTTTGGAGACCCCTGCCCTAAACGATTTGTCGTACTATTTGCAAGCAACGAATTCTAGTTCATTGTCAGACTAAGATGTTTTCACTCTCTGAAGAGTTAAAAATGGACCTTCGTTGTATGCAATTAATGGGTACAAAGACCTTTATGGGCTTTACTACACATACAAGGACGTACGTTTTCATGATGTCTCTTATCGTGCTAATTCAAGTGATATCCATAATTCGCATTTGATCTTAGCATAAATTTTGCTCGTTTGCGGTCTTTACTAAATCTGACAGTATTGATATTGACAGTATTGATATCCTTCTTAAGTCAATTTCTACTTCGTTCTTGAACTTTCTGTAGTCTGGGTGATGGGTACATAACATAAAACCCCTATATGCACCTATCACAAGTTCAATATATGAAACATATATTGTAAATGACACTTAATCGGTGTATATTTGGGTTTTTTAGTGAAAAAATTTTATGAATTGGCCTATCCAAAAGTTTTAAGATCATCTAAATATATTAATTTGCATTAAGATTTGCTAAATAAAACGTCTTACAGGAGCTTATGCTAAAAGAAATGATATAAGAAGTATTTTTGACTATCAAGTAATGAAATTTTGGTACCAAGAAATACACGGTTTTTCCGATTTTTCCCATTTTGCTAGTAGGTTATATTTTGCACTTGCCCAGGGTTTGGGAAGTGGCAATATGTCCTAAAATACTTTCATAAAAAGGTACATAAAAAGGTACAATTAATTGAAAAGGAAAGTGTACATGAATTGGAAACAACATTGAAAAAGATTCAAACAAGTGTTGGTGAGAATGCGCTATACTTTGAGTTTGTTGCAATGTTTTTATGGCACACAGTACGTCATGAAAAAGCAAGAGAATATGTTGACAGAATGTTGAAAATGTCCAATGGTTCGAAAGAGGTTTTCTAAACATGCCTTTCACATCATAACTGCAATTTAACCTGTCTTCTTTCATATGTACATACAGGGAACTATTTTTACGTGGATGGATTGATCGTGCAAGTAAACAAGATTCTGCTATTAAGGAATCCATAAAATATTTTGATGAGGCTTTACAGGGGTATGTTAATGTTTTCTCAAAAAGACTTTACAATTTTCAATATTTCACTATAATATTTTCCAACTTCAGAGAATATTGATGCATTGTTTGGGAATGTATGTAAAGTACACAATGCACATAGAAAACATATATGCCATTTCGTCATGTCGTGTTTTTCATTTCTCTTTCAAGGCTGCATACCTTGTAAAGAAGAGTAATTTTACTTTGGCACTGGAATTTATTAATAAAGTAAGTTGTTTATTGTGAAATATCTATGCATTTTAAATGCATTTAAGAAATAAAAAATGTTTACTTTGTTTGCATCGGCTCATGCAAACCAAGGAGTGTTGGGAATAAGTTATATTATTTTGAATGTCCTACTGACAGAGAGACAAATCTCCTTAGTTGTTATAATTTCGTTAACCAATAAGTTTTGTTGTAAAGGGGTTGAAGAGAAAGTCTGAGTGAGCGAGCAATATATGTATGCGATAAACTTTGCCAGGGAATAAAATATTCAAAAGCTTGAGTTGTTGCATCTATTCGACATAGTCAAAAGGAATATTGCCTGGGCGACGGGCAAGATTCACAAAAGGAGATCTTTGGGCAAACTTTAGAGCTGATCAGTGCAATCCCAAAGTCAAAGGATGCCCCAGCTCTATAGTTCTCAGTCCCAAACATGTCAGAGGTCTGCATAAGTCGGTGCAAGCACAAAAAACATTTTTAATTTCTTTTATAAGACAACAAAAATGCAAAATAGACAAATGAACAGAAACATTTCAATTTTTCACTAAAATATATTCACAATTGATTCGCAAATTCTTATTTATTGATTGATTCTTTTCATTGGTTGAGCTCAGATCAGTTCTCATTGGCTAATTCAAGCACAGCTATAGACCAATCAGCGCACATGTTTTAATGCTTTTATTTTATAATCTATGTTGTTTTACACAAGCACATACATATTTTTGGTAAGGTGGTGAGAGTATGGAAGTACATTGAGTTATGTTTCAAACGCTAAAAAAATTTATGAAGTTAGTTTTGGCAATTGAATTGAATGGCAGCATTGATTGAAATAAAATTTGTTCGGTGTCGTAGCTAACTGGCAAGTTTTAGTATTGCAATTCGATGATCATTGAATTGATTCATCTCTATGACAGACATGAACCTAAAAGTCATTCACTGTATTTTGAAGCGGGAAGACTTTTTAGCCGTGTGGTGAGTCTGGCAAAAATCATTTATCATTAACGACCTGTTTTTGTTTGCCTGATAGCATTCCAAGACGGACTGTATCAGCAAAGAGCAAGCTGATGTTCCTTTTTTCTTGCTCATTAAAAAAACAAGGTGTCAGTTAGCTCAAGTGAATATGTCGTCAAATATGTTTAGTTCTCATTTCAAATTTACACGAGGCACATTTCGTATCAAAATGCATCTTTTATTCGGATCATGCAAATCACATTACGTTTTCACGAGTGGTCAAACCTGTATCTTTCTCTATTACTATTTCTGGGTAGATCTGATAATCAGTCCCAAAGGCGGCTGTAGCTGTTTTTTCTGAACTACATATGTGCCGTAACTTTTCTAACAGCCAGTCCAGATAGCAACTCACCTCTTTAGTTTGTTGACTTTATATTTTAAATCAATTCAGTTTGGTTTCTACAGGATGCATTTCATTTTTTCGTTCGGCAAGGCCACTTATTTACTTGTTTGGATTGAAAACAAATTGACAAAGGCTACTCGTATCAACTAACAACTCTGAAAATTCTGGTATCATTGTAATTAGTAGCATGGAATCAGCTGCAGTCGAAAATTTCTTAAAACACGGCTTATAGACTTCGAAAACGACGTCCTTAATCTTTTTATGCAAAGATGCACCACCATGAA